TACATGCACCTATAGGAGGCTATCATATGTCATGTGATCCTTTTAGTTGTTTCATTGCATTCTATTTCCTGTTTTTACAGGGCAACCTCCCCACCAGGAAGCCCCTGCTTGAGAAGGCAAATCTAAACAAAATAGATGTTGATGCATTAAGGAGAGATCTCAATAAGTATTCTGGCAATATACCCCAAGTAGCATGTGACTTCTGGAATTCATGGCTGGACAACATTGATGATTTGACTGCTTTACCAAATGATTATGAATGGCCGCTTGATATACTTGAAAACTCTTTAAAAACTGATCCATTACCAGCTGTCCAGGAAGCATTGGTTGACCTCCATGCTATAAGAGAAAAGGAGCTTGAACCAACTAGAGAGGTAAGTTTTGATATAAGGGGATGCTGATTAGCAATAGGATTCTTTACATGTTAGAGAATTTTGTTTATGTCTGCATACCTTTTTAAATATATAATTAAACCCACCCAATCAATGAGTACTTTGCATTACTATTAATGCCTATTTTTGTTTGAATAGATTTACTCAGGTCCCTATCGAAGTCGAGCTGATAAGGAAAACCCCATACAAATGGATGATAACTTTCTGGATGGTCTAACAGAAGGTTCATTTKTAGCTATGCATTTTGAAAATTACAGTGTTACCCCTGTAATTGGCAAAGTTGTGAAATTAGATCAAGATAATTTCCAGGTGCACTATTGGAAGGGTACCTACCTTGGTAAATGGGCACCACAGCATGTTCCGCGTCGTAAACAACAACCTTGGCTGGAATGGTTACCTAAAACCTGTATTATTAAGCTAAGTGATGGAAAACTTCTGCCAACAACAAGAAACTTTCTCAGAGAAAAGTATAGACTGTTGAAAAGTCAAGTGCAATGACAAATATTATTTTAATGAATAAATTTTACAGTGATGTAGCAATTGTGGAGTTGAATTCTGCTCCTTATATTATTGTGTCTTTAGGAGGCGCAGGAATTCTGCATCTTAAATTTGTCTTCAGGAGGCGCAGGAATTCTGTGCCTTCAATTTGTCTTCAGGAGGCGCAGGAATTCTGCGCCTAAAATTTATCTTCAGGAGGCACAGAAATTCTGTGCCTAATTGTCTTGTAAAAAGAATACATCTCTTTTTCATTCAACACCAAATTGGCTTCGGAAAAAAGATAAACTTCAACTGACCATGTAAAATGTGCAACCAAATTTTAAAGAGAAATGTATAAACATTACTTTTGCGGTAATAACATTGCTATTTAGATAATGCTTAAAAAGGTTTCAGAGGAAAGTGGTACAATTGCTCAATTTTTTAATTGTTGCAATAAAATATTTGTGATTGTTGCTGAAAATGGTAAATAAGAAAAGTTCACTTTTATTTGGAAGGCGTTAAATGCTATTTATCATTAAAAAGTATATCAAAATTTTTATAACTTGACTTTTTTAGGACCAACCCAAGAGTAGCTGCTACAGAAAAGACTCATGTTATAGACACATCAAGCTGCCAGAGTGTACAAGAGATTGCTGTTCGCATGCAGCATGCTCAACAAACAGAGAAAGCTGACCCTATGAATGTTGCGAGCACTAGTTGTGCCCAAGTCGAGGTTGATGACTCAGAGCTAACTGACCACAGTCAAGAGAACACTGATATTACCAGTTCAGAGGTAAATAAGACAACTACAGCTAGGTAATTCATATAGAAGCGTGAATTAAAGTTATTTTCTTCGTGAGAAGAGTAACGACTAGTGTATTAAGCRATGTGTGTTTGCTTTTAATAGCCTCTTCAGCATCAAAAAACCCGTCTTTATTTGCTGCAGCATCGACAAGCAACCTTTTTATGGCTTAGTGTTATACACCTATTTGCGGAAAGGTTGTCATAGAAAATAGGAAATTGTACTTTAGTAAATAGCAATTTAGAAATTAGGAWTAAATTATCCACATCAGTGACTCGAAGGCGAATMGAAAAGTACGAAGATACACGGTTACRACTTAAGGTTTTACGGWTAAGGTTTTTATAAGCTAATCAGAAATACATGCCTTAGCTAAGTAAGCTCAAACACTTATGGGACAATATGTTATTCACTATCTTAATGGTAACCACAATGGGAAAAATATCCTTGACAATCATCAGCAGTTATTTGTCCGAAAGCAGACAATATGAATGGACGGACTTGAAAAGCAGCAGCGAAAAGCTGTGTCGTTTTCACGAATAAAATGTTTGGCCTGGTTGTAACTACCCTCTATAGGATTAAGATCTGGACTATAAGGAGGGAGGAATCTTAGCAGTGCACCAGTTCCATGTATGATTTCTTGAACTTCAACGACATGGTGTACAGCATGGTTATCTGTTGCACGGACAACAAACAAGAATACTATAAGTATATTAATAAATTATTTGCAGTGAGGGCCACATGGTTTTATGACTTGGTGATGATTGATTTAATTACCTAAAACTACAACAGAACGAGAGTTTCTTCCRTTGTATGGATTCAAAAAAGGCACAACTTTATTTCTTAAAAAGTTCGAAAAAACTTCCCGATCAAATTTTTGTCCAGGCTCGAGCACTTCTACACTCAGATACGCATCGCACGCTATCGCAGATACTACGTTCGTGCGCTTGTTGCTCTTCTTCGTCCTTTTCACCTCGGCTCTTTCCACTTTTTGCGAATAGCCGTACTTTCTAGCTAAGCATCTCTCCTATGAAGGTTAGAAAAGAGAAATGTTGGTACTTTTTGGATTCGAAAATTATTGCTTCCATAAATGTTCTCCTRTCCRTATAAAGAGCTATCCTTTTAGAATAGTTCCACTTTAAAAACTGGTTTTAGGATACTCTTGATGCTCAGAGCTAAGCCTTATCAAGTTGCATGAGCCTGTKTGTAGAGACTTACGATTCCTGTTTCGTCGATAAATATCAACTCTTCAGGTTGGTGGTACTGCATCATATCTYTGTAATTATTTCGTAAGTCTTCCCTTCTTTGAGCAGCAACTTCTTTAATYTAAAGTTTGAGTGAAAAGTTAATAATCGTCATACTTTGCASATAAWATCACAGCTGTTGAGCTATCAAAYCTTTTTGTTTGTGAACCCAAATCTATGAAGCGCTCTACAGAGCGTTGAGATATTAAACTCAGAACCAGTTTGCTTCTCAATCTCTGCAGCTATTTCATAAAGACGACGATCTGGCTTTTCCAGAATCATTTCTAACAAAATGTACTCCTCGTGGGGGTGAAGTGTCCGTAATTCTGATGGACGACCAATTCTTTGCCACATTATACTACCTGTGAGGTTGAATCTCCTACATATACGTGAAACCGTACGTGGATCGAATACGCTCTCGGCATCGTTGTTAAGTGTGATATTAATTATTGTTACTATTGAGGTCTTACATGTTTATGCATGAAGTAGGAAGAGAACTGTAAATATTTGATTTCCGTAATTACGGCATTCATGATTCACACGTCAACAAAGGGCATTGATTAGTTGCATTATCACTTCACCGGGCTGGCCCTATTAGCAATTCAAATTCATTCAGTGTAAAAACGCGCCAGGTTTAAAAGTTGATTTTCTAGAGATGGAAGACACCATTGAAATTATCGATAATCAGGAAGTTCTGGATTCTGTTGACCTGAGATTCTTTCAGGGAAAAAGAAGTCCTCGTATAGAACTGCTAGAATTAAGGGGTTCCCGGTTTTAGCTACTTGTGAAGAGTTCCGTCAAAAAGTTGACGATTTGCTGCCGGGCGAAAGATGTAAAAAAGGATTCAGCTTTGGTTTCATCGGAAWAAAGAACAAAAAAATTTGGATTATGTCAGACGACCAGCTCTCTGAAGCTTATGCAGCGACGCTTCAAGGCCAGACATTGTGGATAGATCCACAAGAAATATAACAGATAACAGATGCATTACCACAAACACGAAAAAGTAAGCGAAGCTGGTCTTTTTAAATGTTATCAGATATTGCTTTATCAGCTATACACCATCATCACCTAGACTGCTTTAGTCTAATATTGCACCCATTTAGCTAAAAGTTAGAGACTTTTCATTTAACCTTWCAATGAAAATGACTAATTATTTCGTATTGTTGGAAAAACAAAACGAAACAAAACAATAGATTTTGACATTTTCTAAAATGAAAAAATATATATATATTTGAAACAAATAGGAGATTTATGTTTTGATAGCCGAACCACGTGTCTTATGTTTGTTATAATTTTGATCACGTTTTAGTTACCAATGATTCAATACAATTTTATGAAACCTGATATTCTTGGCCATTCCTTCGTCAAACGACTAAGGAATGATCTCAAACGCAACTTTGATTGCCGTGCGAACTGCGCTTTTGACCTATCTGGCGATGCGAACATTTATATGCACGGAATTATATATATGCACGCTCAGATATTTTGGGCTAAAGCAAAGCTACTGAATAAATATCTCGATGTAGTGCTTGAGCCGTTCGAAGGTGTTTTTTGCTGGCGCCACAAAGCTTTTACACATCCAGAGGTCAAACTTTTCGATAGGTACGGTGTACATGCGAACTCAGAGGGGCAGTACTTGCTATATCGTAGCTATCGCGGGGCTATTATTACTGCGTTGCGTTATATCCCTGGCAAACCAAACCTATTGTAATTCCATTTGCGTCCTACTCACGCACTTTTTGTACTCACGCAATTTTTGTACTCTCGCAAAATTTTGTACTCACGCACTTTGTACTCACGCAATTTTTGTACTCACGCAATTTTTGTACTCACGCAATTTTTGTAAGCTGGCAGTCAAGTAATTACTACTTATCGTGATATTTGTGTGGACGTTTGTCCACTTTAACAGTTTATGATATACTAAGGTCTCTGAACAACATCTGATAACCTTTGGTACGCCCAACGTTTTGTGTTCTACAGTATGTATGTTTTCTATGTTATAATAGGGATGTTATTTTTGTTTGCTGTGCTGCCAGTTTACATACTATTGGTTCTAATATTGCCTCCGTGTGTTTCTTGTTCTGCTGGTTATTTGTCTTTTCAGTTTGACCATAATGCCACGTCAATCCCAAAGAATTCAGCAGAAGCGTGCCTCTACGAGTGCGGGTTTGAGGACAGCGCCCAAACGTGCGCGCCCACAAGGCAACAAACGACCAGCCGCCAATCGTCAAGCTGTCAATTGTCAAGCCGTCAATCGTCAAGCCGCCAATAGCACGCAAGACATCACGCGTCAAGCCGCCAATAGCACGCAAGACGCCAATCCTGACCTTCTCAGTCAACCCGGCAACTTTAGTGACGAAATCATCGATCGTTGGGCGGATGCGGTCACACAACGCATAAGCCAAAGGCTGCCCGGGGCAGTTTCACCGCAAATCGAGAACGAATTACCAGTTGACATCCCAGGGAATCCAGATGCTCTGGCCCAGCACTTAGGAGCCCTCCAGCCATCTTCGCAAACAGGTGAGCCTGCCGACCCCTTTATCTCGGCAAGCCTCCCAATCGATGCTCGTGTCTCATCTAAAATCCGCGAGAAGATTTGGGCCAATGAATATTTTGATCTGGGTATTTTGCTGGTGCGCCCTGCCAACCAGAATCGCTTCCAGATATCTCTGGGTAATTCTGACCCGGGTCAACAGCCTTCGCTCTGTATAGAGCCCACAGAGAAGCCACGGCGGATCACTACCATAGACCAATGGACCAGCGCTTTCCACATTTTCATTGGTGTTTACACATCCAGATACCCTGAGGAATCTCCTGCGTTACTTAAGTATTGTTCAATAATACGTGACTTGGCAGAGAGGGGACACAATTGGCGATATTGGAGCTTATTTTATACCTTTTTCCATACTACTTTTCCAGGCGTTCGTGTCACTCTTCCAATCTCAGTATCACATTTGGCTTTATTTATAGCATATCTGTTCGATCGACGGTACGCCTGCTCTACCGTAAACACATATGTCTCAGCCTTGAGCTATTCGCATAAAATTTTCGGCTTTCAAGATCCGACTAAGGCTTTTTTCGTGACACAGATGCTTAAAGGTTATGGCAAGCTCGGCACCCGGGTCGACGGAAGACTGCCTATTACAACTCCGATCCTTCATAAAATTCTCTCTTTGTGTGCTGATTTATCGTTGTCAAAGTACGAGCTGTGCTTATTTCGAGCAATGTGTTCTTTAGCTTTTCATGCCTTCTTGCGTGTCGGCGAGATGGCTGTAACCAATAACAATACCACTGCAGTTTTATCTATTCATAACATCGCTAAGCTCCTTAACGCCGATAACCAAGTTGTCTCCATCAAGATCACATTTCTGAACTATAAGCACAGCTATAATCAGCTGCCATTTTCTATCATTATCAAACGAAAGTCAACATTTTGTCCTGTCGAATTAATTCTTGAGTACTTGACACAACGAGGGATAACTGAAGGACCTCTTTTTGTTCTAAATGGTTTACCAGTCCACAGACAATATTTTTGCGAATTGCTTGCCAGGACCATTAAGAGCGGATGTCCACAAGGGTCAAACATATAGCGGCAACAGCCCAAAAATCGATTTTGCTCATACTTTTATGATTTGTTGCCTATTATATCCCAATCATCGTGGTATACTTTGTTTGTCAAAATACGCTTTTGTTTTAGAGAAATATTTATTTTAGTCGGGTCGGGTAAATATGCTAATTAGAAGCGCTTCCAATTGACTATTTTAAGTGAGCTTGTGTGACGAAAATCTTTGACCTTTTGGATTGCTAATATGATATTATGTTACTTATTATATGTACTTCATTGACTGTTATTATGAAAGAGTTTGGTTCAATACTCATTTTTTAACGAATTTCTTCATTCGCCATACTTTTTATCACGATAAAAGTGTCCTCTAAATAACGGTCATTTAAAYTATGTGCGATATAACTAAATTCGCTGATCTTTTG